TGATAGTTCCCCAGGTCACCAATGGTGAAATCTTTAACATTTGAGCCATCATCTTGTCCCAAGGACTTCCCGTGTTTCCTTAGAAGAGCAACCTCTGTCTTCTAGGCAGTGGGTAAGTGGGCAGTGGGTAAGTGGGCAGTGGATAAATCTGCATCCTAAGTATCTATTTTTCCTGACCACTCCTGGTACTGTTTGTGTCAGTCCAGATTCACTGAGAAGTAGAGGCCGTACAGGATTCAACATGAGATGATCTTATTAGAGGAAATGGGCAGGGAGCTGAGGAAGGTTGAGAGAATCATGAGACTATGATGCAAATCTGACCCCAAGTGAAGAAGAGAGGGAAGGAAGCATGTAGAAGCATCCCATGCCATCATGCAGTCTAAAGGAGGTTCAGTGAGGCTGCTGGGGAGTCCTTGAACCAAAGATGATTACCAGAGGAGTCCCACGGCCACCTTGGGGCAGGCCGGCATTAAAACCCCTGCCATGGTCCATCATTGGGTATAGCCCATATGTACTGAGTGTAGCCCATATGTAGTGTTGCCTTAGTGCAAATGCTTTTGGGTTTCATAATGCAGCAGCTGGCCCTTGGTCAAATAAGCTCCCAATGGTGGGAGGTCTACTAGGAGCATTCTCCTGGCCACCAGGAGAAATTTTCCTCAGGAGAACCCTACAAGATAGGTACTCTAAACATTATCTTCTGATACATGAGAAACCTTTCTAAGGCCATATAGCTGGGAAGTGGCAAAGCCATCATTATTTTCTAGAACTGACTGAATTGAAAACTTTATTCTCAACCCCTATTCTTCCAGTTTTCCCTCGACTGCCCACATCGATGGCTGCTTCCTCTTTGGGGCATCTCCCCATTGCCACTGCTATCTGTACCTCAATGATGGCATTGTTTTCTACACCCTGTCCTTTGCCTCCTGGTGCCCCCAAAGACACAAGCCCTCAGGATCTGGAGGAGTGCTGCATTCCAGAATCCTTGCTGTACCTGGGCACTGATGGCTTCTGCACAGAAGCTGCCTCTTGGGCACCATCTTGGGACAGGATGGGTTGTGCCACTGTATGAGTTATGCGTTCCTACATTAACGATTTTATCACAAGTGGAACAGCTTAAAACAACTCACATTTATTCTCTCAGAGTTTCTGTAGGTCAGGAATCTGGTTCAGTTTAGCTGGGCCCTCTGCATCAGGGTCTCACAAGGCTGTAGTCAGGATGTTGACCAAGGCTGCAGTGTCATCCAAGGCTTGACAGGGGAAGGGTGTGCTTCTAAGCTCATGTGATTGTTGGCGTCATTTAGTTCCTTGCAGGCTTCTGGACTGAGGGCCCCAGTTTCTTGCTGGCTGTTGGCTGGAGGCTGCTCTCAGCTCTTTGCTGAGTGGTTTTCCCTCTAGGGCAACTGACAATATGGCAGTTTATGTCTTCAAGGGCAGCAGGAGAGTCTCCCAGCAAGATGGGTCATAATCTTACGTAACATAATCACATACATCCTAAAAAACTTGCATTATTCTACTGGTTAGAAACAAGTCAGATCCTCCCTACATGCAGGAAAGGGGATCATGAAGGCCAAGGACATCAGGAGGTGCAGGATGTGGGAGCCATTCTAGAGTCTGTATATCACAGCTTCCCTATTGACTAGCATCTCTAATGAAAACAGCTCTTTGAACCATCCTAAAGCTTAACTCTCCATGAAGTACAAGTCAAGACAGAGGCACTGGCCTAGGAGATTGCCACTTGATGACTTCTCCAGGCCTCCTTTTCTCCTGTGGTTCAAAAGTTCCTTTCCCTCATTGAGGGTGACTCGAACACATGAGATGATGAGAGCACCCCACCAGTGTATCACACGTTGATGGTAGGCAATCCAAACTCTACTGGCTGCAGCTTAGATCCTCTCATATTCTGTTACATTCTGTTTGAGCATGGGAATGACATGATTGATCAGGCTTTATGATAACTGAATTTTTAAATTTTTATTTTTTAAAGATTTATTTATTTTTAATGAGAGAGTGGGGGGGGGTGCAGAGGGAAAAGGAGAGAGAGAGAGAATCTCAAACAGACTCCCTGCTGATTGTGGAGCCTGATGTGTGGCTCCATCTCACGACCCTGATATCATGACCTGAGCTGAAATCAAGAGTTGGATGCTCAAGTGATTAAGCCATCCAGGCACCCCATCGTAACTTTTTTTTAAAACAGCTTTATTAAGATATATGGTTTCACTTACTTGTGGGACATAAGGAATAGCAAGGAGGACATTAGGAGAAGGAAAGGAAAAATGAAGGCAGGGAATCAGAGGGGGAGACAAACCATGAGAGACTGTGGACTCCGAGAAACAAACTGAGGGTTTGAGAAAGGATGGGGGTCGAGGGATGGGTTAGCCCAGTGAGGGATATTAAGGAGAGCACATACTGCATGGATCACTGGATCTTATACGTAAACAATGAATCATGGAACACTACATCAAAAATTAATGACATACTGTATGGTGACTAACATAACATAATAAAAATAATAATAAATTTAAAAAATCTTTAATCCATATACTATATAACTCATCCATGAAAAGTGTACAATGCAATGGCTCTTGGTATATTCACAGAGTTGTACAACCATCCCCACCATCAATTTTAGAACATTTTCATCATCTTAAAAAGAAGCTTCGTGTGCCTTAGCCATTACCTCCTGTTCTTCCTTCCCCCCAGCCCTAGAAACCACTAATCTACTCTCTGTCTCTATAGACTTGCCTGTTCTAGACATTTCACATAAAGTGGAATCAGATGTGATCCGACTTCTTTCATTTAGCATATTGTCATGGTTCATCCTTGTTGTAGCATGTATCATAACTTCACTTCTTTTTATATTCCCTTATATGGATATGCCCCATTTTAGTTATCCATTCATCTGTTGATGGACATTATTTTATTTCCACTTCTTGGATATTATGAATAATGCTGTTATGAATATTAATGGACAAGAGTATAGACGTATGTTTTCTTTTGGGTATATATCTGAGAGTGGAATTGCTGGGTCATACGGTAACTCCAAGTTTAACCCTTTAAGCTACGGCCAGGCTGTTTTCCAAAGTGGCCGCACCATTTTGCATTCTTAGGAGCAGGGTATGAGAGTTCCAATTTCTCCACTCCTCACTAGCTCTTATTATTGTCCATCTTATTTGTTTTAGCCACCCTAATGGGTTTGAAGTGGTATCTCATTGGAGTTTTTTTTAAAGATTTTATTTTTATTTATTTGAGAGAGAGTGAGAGAGAGCATGAGAGGGGAGAAGGTCAGAGGGAGAAGCAGACTCCCCGTGGAGCCAGGAGCTGCATGTGGGACTCAACCCGGGACTCTGGGACCACGACCCGAGCCGAAGGCAGTTGCTTAACCAACTGAGCCACCCAGGCACCCCTCATTGGAGTTTTGATTTGCATTTCCCTGATGGCAGGTGATAGTGTGGAACTTTTCCACACGCGCATTAGCCATTTGTATATCTTCTTGGGGAACTATCTCTTCAGATCCTCTTCTCATTTTGCAGTTGGGTTTACAATAACTTTTTCATGTATTGCAAAGAATATGTTCACCGAAGAAAACTTAGAATCTATGCGCAAGCATAATAAAAATAATAAATGCCATTTAGCAAGCGTATATTGCAAACACTGTCCTAAATGCCTTCTCTGCTTGCTCTATACCACAGAGGTAGAAAGAACAATAACTAATGTTTACTGAGCTGCTCTTAGGTACCAGGCGTTCTTCCACATAGCATCTCATTTAATCCTCCCAATGGCTTTTCTGATTTTCACCAGACTCAGTTTTCAACAAAGAAACTGAGTCACAGAGACATTAAGTAACTTACTTGCCTGCATACAGCTAACTGGTGGCAGAACCAGAGTTTGGACTCAGGTAAGTCTGTCTCTCCAGGTTTCTTTTTTTTTTTTAAATTTTAAAAAAATATTTTATTTTATTTATTTGACAGAGAGAGACAAAGCAAGAGAGGGAACACAATCAGGGGGGAGTGGGAGAGGGAGAAGTGGGCTTCCCGCTGAGCAGAGAGCCTGATGCAGGGGCTCAATCCCAGGACCCTGGGATCAGGACCTGAGCCAAAGTCAGCCGCTTAATGACTGAGCCACCCAGGCGCCCCCAGCTTTTACATTCAACCACAGCCCTGTGCCTTTCTGAATCGAGAGGCTTTGAGCAGAATCATTGCAATACATTGTCTTTTTGCTCTCCTGAAGTAAAATAAAGTATCTTTTTTGATGATTATCATTTTCTTTGTGCAAAATGGCAGAAATTTCCCTCAGAGATCCCTGAAGACTTAGAAATGGTTTAATTTCCACTGATTTTTCTTTCTTTTTGGTTGTTTCTCCTTTTTCCTCCATAAGCTTTGGGAAACAAGAACCAAGTCTTTCCATACTCTGATGGTAATTCCAAATGAATGTGAAAATTGCCAAAATGACCTTCTCCATGTCTGCGTGCTCAAGAATCAATCAGAGTAAGGGAGGACGGAGTGGGTCCCCACTGTGCTTCTGGACTTCCACGGTTTCACAGATTGTCTTTGCAACTCTGCGACCGGAAGCAAGTAACTTCACCTCCCTGCCTACCTCGTAGTGCCTGGAGGAGTAAGGGATGTGGGAGCAGGGGGACTAGAGGCAGACTCATTTCCCCGCTTTGCACTTGTGTGGTCTTGGGCAAGTCCCTTCACGTCGTGGGGCCTGATTTTGCCCAGCTGTAAAGTAAGTGGGTAGGACCCCAGGCTCTCTGAGGTGCCTTCTGGCTCTGACGTTCTCTGTTCTGTGCCTGCCTCTGAGTTGTAAAGAATGAACATTAAGGTGATGTCTCTCACAAAACCGTTTTTTGTTCAAAACGGTGAATCCTAGGTAGGGTTCTCAAGGGGAAATTGCAAGAGGCCTGGATGTACTGGGAATAAGATGCACTGGTATTTCTAGGAAGGAGATGGGCGTGGCGGGGCGCTGAGAGGGGTGTGCGGACCGCGGAGCATCCTTACAGGCTGAGAAGGCGTCCGCAGGCTAGAGGGGAGGCCCGGGCCAGCGAGGACCAAAGCTGCAGCGGCTGCGCACTGGCGCGCCCAGCCGGCCCATTTGCGTGTCTCCGCCTCTGCGACGAGCTGGTTGGGTGGACTGGTCCGGCGCCGCAAGCGCATTGGCTGCGCGGCCTGCCGCTCAGGCCCAGGAGAGGACGGTTCCTACTGCGGCTGGGCACCGGCTCCGCTCCCGCGTCGGCCCGCGCTCCAGCTGCGCCCGGCCCGGCCCCGGCCCGGCTCGGCCCGGCCCCGGCCTCCGAGCGAAGCCGCCGCTGCCGCCTGGGCCGCTCCCAGGGCCATGAGGAGGCGGCGGCAGCCACTGCGGCCCGCGTCAAGGTGACCGGCCGGGACTGCGGCGGCGGCGGCGAGAGCGGGCGGTGAGAGGAGCGGCCCGCGGGGCGGGGCGGGGCGGGGCCCTGAGGGCCGGGCCGCAGGGAGCTGCAGGTGCGGGGGGCGGGACCCGGAGGGACCGCTGGGCCGGGGAGGGGCCTCGGGGCGGGAGGCGGGGCCAGAGGGGCAGGGGTGGTGTCGGGCGGGTTCAGGGTCGCGGGGGGCCGGGCGGAGGGGCCTTAGGTGGGCTGGTCCGGTGAGGGGTGGGTAGGAAAGGCAGCGAGTGTGGGGGTGGAGGTGGAGACAGGACGCAGGTGTGGGGGGGCGGGGCTGGTGGAGGCAGTTGGGCGGGGCAGAGGGGGCTGCAGGTGTGGGGGCGGGGCCAGGTGGGACCACGGATTTGGCAGTGGGTGGGGGCTGCCAGGTGAGGCCGGAGCTTCTGGAGGGCCCGGGCCTGAGGAAACCACAGGTGCAAAGGGCGGGGCCAGGGAGACCTGCAGAGGCTGAGGGCGGGGCCCCAAGTGGTTGCAGGTCCGGAAGCGGTGCCCCAGGTGTGGAGCGGGCGGAGGGTGAGTGGTCCCTGGGGAAGGGAACGCAGCCCTCTCCGTTGTCTAGGGGTTTTTGGGGTGGGCGCAGGAGCTTTGGGCTCTCTGAAGATTCTGGAGGCTTCGAGGGTTGCTGCCGGACCAGAGGGGCCGGCCAGGCCTGCCTGTGCCTCTCCTGAGGCTGATTTGGGTGTCTGCCGCCCCGGTTATTAGGCTGGCGGCTTCTCTGCCACGCTGTGCATTAAGTGGGGCGCGTCGTTTTTCATGTCTCTGGGGCTTTCCCTGTTGCTGTTGCTGGGGGCATGACTCGATTGGGGTCGGCGGCTGGTATTCTTTGGATGATTAGAAATGTGGTTGAGAAATGTTGCTTGCTGGAAGAATAGTTAGTGTGAAGCTTGAAGGGTCCTGGTACCAGATGCTGCTGCAGATCTTAGTAATGGCAGTCTCCAAAAGACTGACATGGCAGCCCGGTGAGGGGGAAGAACAGAAATGAGGGCTCAGGAGCTTTTGCCTCTGTGTAACCCCCAGAGAGTCTTTCAACTCTCCAAGCTTTGTGTTTTCCTTTGCAAAACGAGCATCTGAGCATGGACCGTCGTGCTACCTGCCTTGTGAGCCTCCCAGGGGCCCTGTGAGGATAGGATGGAAAAATGCTTACCGAACAAGTGCTGGGGTAAAGTTATGAGTCTCCTTCCTCTTTGCCGATGGGGGTGTTGGATTCAGGGACTACGGTTTTAAAGGGGAGGTTGGATTTGGTGTATTTCTAATTAGCAGACCATTTTCTTATTTGAGTTTGGGATGAGGTTTGTGGCAGAATGTCCCCAAGAGACAGTCTCGGATCTGACTTGGATCAAGACCTCTGAGGGAGCTGTGGCAGGGAGCAATGGCAGGTGGAAAGTGAGGAACATTTGTTTGCTGACCTTTAGACCCCAACCCCATTGAGGACTCTGAACTGGAGCATAACGCTTAGGCTTGAGCCTTATGGAATTTCCCCTCCCCATCCAAGTAGGAACTCTGATTTTACCACATTCCAGGAAGAAGACACAAAAAAGAAGGGGATGTGAGAATTTCACTAGCTTCCTACAGGGGCAGGGAGAAGAAATCAAGCTGAGAGGGCTCTCTCCTGTCCTGAAGATGTCCTGTACCCATGTGTGTGACCTTTTGGCACAAAGTACCTCTATTCACTGGCAGTTTGACCATTCCAAACTGTCATTTCTCCTACCTGCATTGCATGGACTGAGACAAGGCAGGAGGAGGCTTCTCCTACACTGGCTTGCATTTTTCTTTACTTTAGAAGCTATGAAACTTTTAGAGGCCAACCACCATGGGGCTGACCTCTGTCCCTGCCACTCACCTGGTGTGGCGGTGACCCAGTGGCATCATGGGATGGGATCTCAGGGACGGGTCCTTACTGGGGCCTGTGTTTATATGGCAGGCACCCAGAGGGTCTAGAAGCAATATGTTGGATGTCCCTTTCTGTCCTAGCAGAAACTGTGTAAACGGTTCTCAGAGATTGCTGCCCTCTGGATAACCATCTGTGGGTTCAAAGGAAAGCCCAAACTTGGTGGCACACAGAAGTTAGAACATGCATTGAATAATGAGGGGGTCAGCTTTTTGATTGTTATTATTGGAGCGACAACATCCAGGGTTGAGAGAGAAACTTCATTAATGGAAAATATTAAAACCAAGGCTTTCTGTGATCCGGCCCCAGTTTACCTTTTTATTTTTTAATTTTTTAAAGATTTATTTATTTATTTATTTGAGAGAGAGAGAGGGAGAGAGTATGAGGGTGGGGAGGGGCAGAGGGAGAGAGAGATTCTGAAGCAGACTCCACGCTGAGCCTGAGGTGGGGCTAAAGCTCAGGACCCTGCGATCATGACCTCAGCTGAAATCGAGAGTTGGACACTCAACTGACTGAGCCACCCAGGCAGGCCCAAATCCCCCAGGATACCTTTTAAAATCGATTTTCCTATTCAGTAAGGAGGGCAAAGGCTCTGGCTTGCAAGTCAGACAGGTGTGTGTTGGAAGCCTTATGCACTGGTTTCTCAGCTTCTCAAAGCTTTTTTCCTTATTTGTGAAGCAAGGATAATCATGCCCACCTTGAGAGGTTATGAAGAATAAATGACCTAGGTTATGTGAAAGCATCTGATATCAGGCACTGAGTGTTAGGGTACATTTCTCCTCGCCCTGCGTGCTCATCTTTCAACACCACTGAACAGCATGAAGCATGTAGGGAGAGCAGGACTGGTAATTTTGAGGCCTTTACTTCTTACGTAACCTTGAACAAATCCCTTCCCCAGTCCTCCATTTTCTAGGTTGAATGAGGACGGTGTTAGACTACGAACATCAAGGGTGGTCCTTGCTCTGACATTCTTCTCATTAGCATGCTGTCCATATTTTCCTGAAAGGCAGGAGGGAAGAAATTAATGACCTGTGTAGTTCTCTTAAAAAAAAAAAATCTGTCTAGCACTTTGCCTAGTACACAGTAGGTGCTCATTAAATAGTTGTTGAAGGAACAGATAAAGGAGTTTAGGAAGAAGGTGTGGCAAATTGCCCCTGATGCTTCTGTGTATGTTGTATCTCTGTCTTCAAAATTCTATTGATTTATTTGCCAAAACATATTGCAGCATTTTATTGAAACTGGTGAACCTCAGCATAGAAGACAAAAGCTGTTTCACAGTCCTGTTTTACCACAGATTAAGTTCATCCAGTTTTCGTTCATAAGCATACATACTTTCATGGTTGCTGTTATATGTATGTGAGCATATGAGAGAGGCTTGGCAAAAAGTGGTGTCTTTAAATGGTGTTTTTAATTTAAATTTTTTTTAAGAAGTAAAAAAAAAAAAAAAAAAATCACACATGGATTCTCTTTTGAAAGGCAAGTAGTCCAGAGGGGAACAAATTGTAAAAAGGGTCTTTCTTGCCTCAAGCTGCCAGTCCTTTTCCCTAGGAGCAACTACTATTACCATTTTCTTGTTTATTATATATTCTTTCTCTTACACAAAGAATAGTGTCTGTATATACTCTTTTTCCTTAGTCTAGTCACTTGATCTGTTTTGGAAATTGTTTCAACATTGGAAAATGTTCCAGTTGGTACATACAGTTCCTTCTTAATAAATGTTTTTGATTGATGTTGTAAGCAGTTTTGTCCTTATGCCCCCCACTCCTCCCCACCATGATGTTTACTCAGTACTGGTGAGCAGTCATTGTTGAGAAGAGTAGTAAGGGACATCCCTTTTTCTTTTCTGGGAAACAAATGGCTTTGGTCCCATTGAACAATAGATTACAGGCAATCCACGTATCTGGATGCAAGGCAGATGACAGAAAGAGAAAGGAAAAGAGATTTGTTTACTAGTAATTGAAAACTGATTTTCCATTCAGCCCTTGACTCAAAGTTCAGCTGTTACTTACTGGTTGCATGACTTGGGACAATGTCTCTAATCTCTCTGAATTTTACTTTCCTTATCTGCAAAATGGATGATGTTAATAAAGTCTGCCTTTTGGGGTTTTTGTGTGGAGGAGATGAGATCATGCATACCAAGTACTCACAGCAATAGCAGCTTGTAGTAGATGCTCAGGAAGGGGTAGCTGCTGTGTTGTTAAAAACCGGACGGAAACTCTTCTATTCTTTGTCAGGAGGTATTTACTGGGCAGTTGAGGGTGAGCCGTGGACAATGCCCAAAGTCCTTGCCCTTGAGATGCCCACATACTGTGCAGGGAGACAGGCACACAAGCCACTGATCGTAGAACAGTATGGTGGGCCCGATGTTGAGGTGGTGAGCAGTATGGGGGTCGCTCAGGCTGGAAGCAATGACTTCTCCTCGGGTGATTTGGGAATGGCTTCCCAGCTCAAATATCCCCTCCTTTGTGAAACCTGCTCTGTTCTTTTTGGCACAAGTGACCGAACTCCCGCTTGTGTTCCCTTGACTTTCATTGTGTGCCTGCCTTGGTCGGAGTGTATATTGTGTCATGGCACGCATTGCTTTATGTCTGTGGATCCCTGCACAGGGAAACTCTCCTACTTTCTTTGCCGCTGAGACTTCAGGGTATGTTCTTTTTGGCCATTGTGATGGACCTCCTCTCCATCACGGCTGCCGAATATTGGCAAGCTCTTACTGATAAGCTGTCAGGTATCTGGTGAAACCCAGTCTCTGGGCTCTGTTCCTTCACTTTCCAAGTATTTGAGTGCTGACTCTGAGACAGGTGTGTTTTGTGCCATACACTAGCTATAGGCTTTGGGTATGGCTGGTGATACTTGTCCAAAAAGTCTTGGAGATGGGAGAGAAAAGAAATATTTCTCCAGAGGCTCCAGGACAAGAGGGGGAAGCAGAAAAAAGCACGACTCTAAAAAGGAACTCCTCACACTTGCTGAAGCCCACCTTGCCTTTCCTCAGAAGAATGGCTGCTCATCCTTCCCTTGGAGTGGGGTTGTGGAGGAACAGGCTCACGGGAGCTGAGTAGGTGGTCTGTGGATTTTGACCAGGGGTAGTGGGCAGTTGGTTGGG